TGGGGGGGGCTGGGGGCGGGGGGGGCTGTGAGCGCAGGCAACGGCCGTCGGCCTCGCGCGGGGACCGCCAACGCTCCCCGCCGCCGCCACGTGCCCGTCGCCATGGCGACCCCGGGACAATGGGGTCGCCATAGCGACGGGCACGTGGCAGGAGGGAGGAAAGATCAGCGAGTCGGGAGGCAGAAGGGCCTGAACTTTCTTTCTCCCAGGGAGAAAGACGGACCGGAACTTCCGGGAGCTGGGCTGAGGGATCATGGAGTCGGGAGGGAGAAAGAACGGAACTTCCGGGAGCGGGGCTGAGAGACCAACGAATGGAGAGGCAGGAAGGTGCCGCTTCCGGTGGGAGCGCTTCCGGGTGAGGGCATGAGGCTGTGGGCACTGGCGGGCGGCGAGCGGGCGAGGCTGAGCGGCAGCGTGGCCTCCATGGCCAAGAGCAAGTTCGAATACGTGCGGGCCTTTGAGGTGGACGACGCCTGCCTGCCCAACACCTGGGCCGTGGTGCGCCTGGACGGCCGCAACTTCCACCGGTAGGCGCCGCGCCCTTCCGGGAAGCCCGCGGGCCCAGCCAATGGCAGTACCAATTCTAAGCGGGGCGGTTGCCGGGGCGACGCCTCGGCCAATAGGAACGCGAGAAATGGGTAGGGCTGGGGGCAGGGCCTTGCGTTGCCATGGCGGCCCTGGGGCTGGATGGCGGGGTTGTTGCTGAGGGATTTGGATGCTCCTGCTCTGGGTCTGGTTTCCCAGCAGCCCCTGCCTTGTTTTCGTGGAGACACCAGGAGCCATGACAGGGAGGGGCAGGGTTTCCATGAAGATGGCCCCAGCCGCCCTGGCAGGGACTGGGCTCTTGTGGCCATGACCACGGTCCAGAGCTGGGATCCGTGTAATCCAGGCCACGCTGCTACCACCCTAGGATCCTGCCAGCGCTCCTAGGGCCGGTCTCCATGGAAACCCTGGTCCTGCTGCTGGGGTCTCTGTGGAAACCGGCCGCAGCGATGCAGGCAGAGGCTGCTGGAAAGCTGACGCAGATGTGAGCGTGGGAGGGGCAGGAAGATGCTCATCTGGGCTCCTTCCAGCCAGAGCCTCCTTCATGGTCTTGTAGATGACTGGCTCGGCTGGAGCCCAGAGGAGCTTGACCAGGATGTTGCACCCAGATGCACCGTTCAGCCGAAGACTCGCGAGTGGTGTTGCTTCATAGGGATTCAGTAAAGCAGGGGTCTCAAAATACCCTGGGCCGCATCTGGCCCGTGGAGCCCTGTGATCTGGCCCGTGGGTTTCGGGCTCACCCTGTGCATAGCTGGTTTGGCACTTGGGCTGGACCCACAGGCACTGCACACAGCACAGGGGGTCGATCCGCAGCTTCCTTTGCTTGCGTCATGTGGCTCTGGCACAGGGGCCTGCTGTATGCGGCGTCTTGCTGAACCGTCCCTGTGTACTGGCTTGGGTGCACATGGATGGCTTGGGGTTCAATTGGGACCGGGCCCACAGCCAGTGCATGGGGCTGGGCTGGCACAGTGCTAAATGCAGCTTGTATTCTGGGCCAGCCTGCTGTAACGCCTGCAGTGTTGGGTTCAGCTGCACGTGGCACGGGACTAGCACAGGGCTTGTGCTGCACACGTTGCCATGCCGTATCAGCCCTGCGTGCTGGTCCCAGAACGAACTGATCCAGCTTGCAGGGGCCAGATGAGTCTGACACCCCTGCGGGAAAGCACGCGGGCTCTGACAATGTGCTGATGTGAGCCTTTGTACAGGTAAAGTCTGAAAGCCCTTCAGCATTTTAGCTAAAGGCTGGAAGTGTAGAAAAAAAGGCCTTCCCTGAGTAGTCAAGAAATTTAGTCTGCAACCTCATTATGCTTTCAGAGTGCCTGTATACGTCCCCCTGTCTGCATTTGGTTGATTTGGGTTGAGGGTTAAATAGTTACTATAAATACTGATGGAGAAAAGAACAGGTGTCCAGGTGCTAGAAATGGAGGGGTTTCCGCTCTGTACCTGGAGATAATTCTTTTTTGATGTGGGTGGGATTTTTAAACATCAGCGTCTGTAGGAAGTACGTATGATGAAAACATGCCTGTATGCCTTGCTTGTGTCGATTTCACAAAGTTATGTTTCTGATTGCGTTCTCTCCGCGAAGGTTTTCTGAGAAGCATGGCTTCACGAAGCCCAACGATGACCGTGCCCTGCATTTGATGACCAAGTGTGCCCAGACGGTGATGGAAGAGCTGGAGGATATCACCATTGCGTATGGACAGAGTGATGAATACAGTTTTGTTTTTAAGAAGAAAAGCAACTGGTTTAAAAGAAGAGCAAGGTAACTTCCTCTCTGGAATTTAGCAATTCCTCCCAGACTTAATATCTCATGGGGAAAAGTTGTATTTATACCCTCTTTTTATCTTTGCCCCTTCCTGTTTACATATGTTGTCTGTACAGTATAGGTAAAATTGATGTGTTACACTTATATGTACAGTATATGTATATCCTGCAATTAGCTGTGAAGTTTTGAGGTTATCTTTCTGTGTATGCCACTTTTGAAAGATAAATGTAATAACATAGGGTTAAAAAAACATTCTATCAAAAATAGAGGTTTTTGGTAGCCTACTTCCCTTTCTACCCTCGGTGCTTAACCTCTTTCATTGCTCAGAAAGAACCCGTGCATCACTGGTGGTCCATAAAATCATAAGAAACTTAAGCAGCACAGCTCTCCACCTGCCATTACCACTGTTACCCCAAATGTTTACAGATAGAAAGGTATGAGTGTTTTAATTAACAGCTAACATCTGTTCTGTCTCTCTCTCTCTCTTCTGTTTTTGCAAGTAAGTTCATGACCCACGTAGTCTCCCAGTTTTCCTCCAGCTATGTCTTCTACTGGAAGGATTATTTTAAGGACCAGCCACTTCTGTATCCGCCAGGATTTGATGGAAGAGTTGTGCTATACCCCAGCAACCAGAATTTAAAGGACTACCTCAGCTGGAGACAAGCTGATTGTAAGCATCTTTAGAAAAGAAAGGAAACCCATAGAGTGGGGCATTGATAATTGATGGGCTTGTTTTCTGTCTTGGGGATGGAAAAAAAGGCCTTCCCTGAATAGTCCACTAAATTTGCAGATAGTCTGTCTCTCTGTTGACACGATTTCCTTTTATGACAGGCCACATTAATAACCTCTACAATACAGTATTTTGGATGCTTGTGCAGCGAAGTGGCTTGACTCCAGTACAAGCACAAAATAGATTACAGGTGAGAGAATCTTCCAAGATCACTTTCTTTTTAAGATGATCAGCTGCAAAGAATATTTTTGTTCTTACTAGACAGACAACATGTGCAAAATCTAGTTCCTCAATGGTTTTAAGCACATGCAGTCTTGTCTTGTCCATTCAGCAAGGTCAGCTGCTTGTGTGTACATGGTGTTTGTTTGGAGGTGAGATGAGTTCTGTCTTTCTGTCTTGTTCTTGCGATGCAGAGGGGCATAACTGAGAGAGAGAGAGAGAGATTTTATTTAAACTTTGTATAGCATTTTAATTCCATAACTACTGATTCTGAGTCCGTAATAACTTTGCTAAACATTAATCAATCTTTGCAATACCCAAAGTAATTTGATGATGATAAAACTATTAAATGCTATTGCTAGTTAATTATATTTAACAATTAGTTTTTCTTTCCTTGCTGTTAGAAAGTTATAAACAAATGAGGCTATAAGGGGTGTGTGTGTGTGTTTTTTTTTCTTTTTCTCAATCTCAGGGAACTTTGGCTGGAGATAAGAATGAAATTTTATTTTCTGAATTCAACATTAACTACAACAATGAGCCCTTGCTGTATAGGAAAGGAACTGTACTAATATGGCAAAAGGTAAAGGCATTTTAACAGCTTGTCCACCCTCGCATTTTTAAAAAAAGCGCTGAGCAATTTACAAACTACAATGAAACCACCAAATGATTCTGGTGTTAAATTGTCAGCTTCTGTGGTTGTCCATAAAGGAACATGTTTCAGATTCTGAAAAATGGTTATAGATATAGATAAAAACAGATACGGTTAGAGAGGAGTAATTTTTGTTGAGGTGGTACAGAAATATCTGGCCATGTACATAAAAGGAAAGTCTTAATGCCTGAAATGTGAATCATTTGGGCAGTTCTGCATAGACTGATTATAGTTTTGTGCATGTCGTCTTGACCGTGCATGCCACCTTGAAAAATTCTGCTTGCCTAGGGCTTCATCTTTATTTGCTTTTTTTTAAAAATGACTATGAATCATGACAAAAGTTGAACAAGCAAGTTTTGCATTAATTGTAATGACAGGTTTTCCAAGTCTGATGTGATATAATCCAAAGTGAATATTTGGGCCTGTGCCAACCTCACTGTAGGATGGGAATGTTAGCATTAGTACAATGAAGGAATTAGGAGCATTCATTCAGTCAGACTCTGTGTTCCAGGAACTGAACAATTCTATCTTGTTACTTAAATAAAGCAGAGAAAGGATCAAATTCGCGTCTTTATTTGCAGGTTAATGAGGTCACTACAAAAAGAATCCAATTTCCAAAGGAAACTGAAGAGAAGGAAGTTGAAGTGACACGTACCAGGAATAAAGTTGTCCCGCTGCACTGTGACATTATTGGGGACCAGTTCTGGGAAGAGTATCCTGAAATCCTGGCTGATGACAGCTGAAATTCCCAGTTTGAATTTAGGTGTAAAGAACAGTTTTATAGTTTAATCTATGGAGAACCTTTGTGAACTGAAGAGCGTGGCAGGTTGGCTGGAATAATTTAACCTTGTAACCTTTATTGTGAAAGGTATTGAAATCTTAAAAATAACACTGTATCCTTGTTTGTAGTGTAAATAGATCCTCCAGCAGAAGCTAGAATCAGGTTCTTTTCAAAACGGCAAGAACCCTTTGTGAATGACCAGATTGACCCTTGTAAGGCTACATTTGCCTCAAGACTGATTACTGTATTATAATGTATTTATGTAGCATCCTGGGCATTAAAGTCACAGGCTGCTTTATACAGTTGGTTAAAATAACATCATTTACTCTTTAGAACAGCGTAAAACAACAGAAAAACTGTTTCTTTAGATTTGTTTATAACCATGAAGCAAATTGGAGTATGTAGGGTAGTGCTTTTAAATTAAATGCCAAGACTGTGGAGGTCAGTAACAAAATATTCAAGAACTGTATATCTCAGGCCTGTATCAGAATAATATGACACAGAACACCAATTTATAAAGGGCAACTTTTTAATGTACTTCTCTAATGTAAATTACGTTTGTAATTTTTTTTAAATATACAGACATGTAATTATCTCCCCTCCCCGGTTACCCTCGGTATGTTTATTGCTCAGACTTCAGCATCACTGTGACTTTATTAGTAATTAGGAGAGGTCTCAAATGGCCAAACTATAATCACATTCTTATATAGGCTTGCATCCTAGCAGGAGGTGTGTGGGGGTCACGCGCTCATTTTCTGCTGCCTCGGAAACCACCTGACTCCTGCTGTTCAGGATAGTGAAAGCTAGTGGTGCTAGGAGAGAAGCTGGTGGTTACCTGTGGTGAGGAAGTTTGAAAGGGCTTGTATTGTTCTGCATCTCCTTGTAGGTGACCCTTCCAGCCAGTTACAGGAAGAAGGGGAAGAGACCTGGACTGATTGTAGCAGTAGGGGAGTTTGCTGTGGTGAGTGTGTCTGAAGGGGTTGGTTGCTGTGCTGATTTAACTACCAGCTGCAGGCAGGCTATTTACCAAAACAGTTGAATCAGTACAGTCCTTGATGGGGACAAAAGTATATCAATTATGTCCATGTTCTTGGAAATTTAGGGAAATCAACTATATTGGCTTAGGTACCTTTTATATCAGTATAAGTGCATTCGCATCAAGGCGTTGTAGTGTTTAAACTATATTGCCTTAAAAAAACAACAGTTAAAGCATCACAAAACTGACTTGGAAAGAGAGAATTCAGTTCATGCTCTGGGACTGGGTCTAGAGACTGGAAGCATGGAGCGAACGTGACTTGGTTGATCAGCATTCCAGCCATTTCTTTCCACTGGAAAGTCTCTGATTTACAGCAATACACTTTTCTTGGGTGTGTCTACATGTGTGCTTTAATGTGCATTAGCTTATTTTAATGCGTATTAAAGCATCACAAAAAACAGTGTGCTTCTGCTAATGTGCACTAAAATAGGCTGATGTGCCTTGTTGTAGTACTTCAGAATGGAGGTACTAAATTTAATGTGTGTTAACAAACGCGTATTAATGCAGGTGTAGATGCGCCGGCTACTGTTACTTATTCACAACCTGTTTGGAAAAGCTCTTAATAAATACTTACTGATCCATGGTATCTTATTACTATGGACATCCCCTATCCTCTACCTTTCCTACTACAGCAGTGGGGTTAGGCCTGAAGAAAAAGCCCCTTTTAAGCCATTTGGATCATAAACAGTTTAAATATACATAATAAGGTAGTAAATACTCTTTTTTTTAATTCACTGTATGTAATCCTGAAGAAACAAATAGAAGAATATAGACTTGAGTGATGAAGGCAGCACTTGTTACCCATTGTGAATTAATCACTGGACTGCAATTAATTAGTCCTACTACTATCATTAAACTTGCATATCTCTTCTTCTCCTCCTCACTGTATGAACTCTACCAGATTGGCAAACATCCAGAAGTCATTCATGGGATATCAAGGAGACATTTCTCATCAGATTATGATCAAACCAAAGAAAGTGAAATTTGGGCTTTTCACTGTATTCTATAGGGATTTTATATCTTTCTAGCTCTTCTCATGCATTACCTAATCCTCACTATAGTGTATATGAGCGGTGAATATGCCCATTTTACGAAGGGCTGGAAAATGTAGGACCTACGTTTGAAAGTGGCCTTTTAATGTATGTCACACGTGTTGTGAAACTTTGAACAAACTGACATGGAGGGAGGGAAAGGGGGTGGGAAAGTGCCCAGCATCTTCAAAAATCAGGCCCAAAATAAAGGAAATTGCCGTCCACAATTAGAAGGTACATGTGAAAGATGAAGGGGATCGAAGGCAGGCAGGTTTAGCTGTGCGTTCCTGTGTCCTTGTGTTGTGTTTATACTGTTGTTGTGAGAGCTCTGAGGTTTTACTCGGTGCCCTGCTTAAGGATGTGGAGAGGAACTGAGGCTTCTCAGTTGTGTGCCACCCGTAAAATATTTGACCTGTAGGAAATGACATGTCCTCTAAGGTAAGGTGGTGCAATGTATTCATGCAGAGAAAAGTAGAAGGCAGAGCAGAGATGCATGTTGTAGACCAGTGATTCCCAAACCCGGGTACTGTGGTACCTGTGGTGCTTTGAGGTCCTTTCAAGGGTGCCATGTTAGTACTTAGCCAAGGTGATTCACATGATAAGCCCAGAGACTGCAAACAGGAATAAGGTGTTGAAAACACCCTGCTCTGCTGTGGGCTTGCTGAATTTGCAACAGAGCAACAGCTCTATTATTTGTCATCAAAACAAGTGAAACCTGAGAGGCAGCATTTTCTGAGGGGGTCCTTGGGTGTAAAGAACTCAGGAACCACCCTTGTAGACTGACTTCATGAGGAAAAGTAAATGGGCATGTACTAGTTACTATCATAATATAAGAATAACATGAAATTTGGTCATTAAAAGGTGGCACTCATTGCCACCAAATGTGGTGGGAAATGACAAGTTTAGTTTCACCAAATTCACAAAGGTATTGGACCCATTTTTGGAGGAAAAGGGGCATCACTCGCTATCGAATGTGGCCTGGGGATCAGAACTTCCTAGACCTGGGGCTGCAAGTGGGAGAGGAACTGTGGATAAAATCCTGGTCATGTCCTGTTCGCTTGACTCCTTCAGCATCTGCTCTCTGCCACTGGGTGATGCACCTTTTTGCCGTGCCAAGGGGTATCATGAGCCAGTGCCCACCAGAAACAATAAGCTGTTCTTAAAAAGGGAGATTTAACAACTGAATTTGTGGGATAAATATTAAATGAACAGAGAAGGGAGTAAGGTCAGGGATTTGTAACAAGGGAGCTGGAAAGGGACAGAGAGCAGAGCGTGCTGCCAGTGCCCCCTGAGTCGGGGGAACCTGTGGGTGCCAACCAGTGAGATGCTGCCCAGGGATGTGCGGAGGAGAAGAGTGGGTGGTGGGGGATGACTTCCTGGTCTGGCAGGTGGGTGGCTTGGCTCTCGGGCACGATGGGGCTGCAGTGAGACCCAGTCCATGGCAATACTTAATGACCCCATCAGAGAGGCACCAGCTTTGGGGCATGCAACAAAGAGCTCAGCCTCCCGACCCAGCAGCTTCAATTCAAATTGCAGGGAGGGGGCTGGGGTGTTGGCTGTAGCCATGTTGGTGTGCTAACAGAGGCAGACAAGGTTTTTTGGGTAAATCCGATATCTTTTATCAGACCAACTCATATAGTTGGAAAAATTCTTTGCAAGCTTTCCGGTATAAATACCCTAGTTGAGGTTGGATATTAGGAAAAACTTTCTCCCTAGGAGGGGGTTGAAGTGCTGGAATGGGTTACCCAGAGAGGCGATAGAGTCTCCATCCTGGGAGGTTTTGAAGACCTGCTAGACAAAGTCTTGGCTTTTTGTTTGTTTGTTTGTTCTTAAGGAACATGTTTGATGCCCCAAGCCAAATCAATCCCGGATCCAACCCTAAGTATCCCTACTACTGGCAAGCATCCTCCACCCCCACCTGGGGCTTCACGTTTCCAAGTCCTTTGGTGGGCGTCCTACATGCAGGCCCAAGCCTGTAAGCTTGGGGCTTGGACATGGGTGACTGGTGCCTCTCGAGTCAGGGGGGCACCTGTCCCCCTGACACCAGTCGGTGATGGGGGGGGCCCCCCCCGAGTGCCCCGGAGGTTGATCCCACTGACTGGGGGGGAGAATTCCCCTGTGGCCGATCGGTGGCCCTGCTCCCTGGCTGGTGCTTGCAGGGGGCACCAGCACTCCCGCCTTCCCCCTTGCCCGCTACCTAAATGGAGTGTGGCCTGATGGGGTGCACCAGTGCGTGCCCCCCCTACACATCACCACTGGGCTCGGATGCTGCCAAGCGTTGGTTGCCCTCACCGGAGCAAGCTCGGGAGGGGTCTGCCATTTCCACAAAGTGGGCGTAAGAGTGGGAGGGTCACTACATACATTCTCCCCATGCCAGAAAGGTGGCCATCCCTTGCCTGCCCCTGGAAAAGCCACCTGATTTTTTTTATTTTTGCAAAAATCTTTGTTTCTCTGTATATAAATATATACCCACATAACGCCTATAAATAGATGGCTGGAGAGGTAGCTCCGCCTGCGGCGCTGGGGCTCGTGCCCGCGGCGTTTTCCGCTCCCCGCCCCCTGGCGGCGCGGCGCTGCGCTGCTGTGCGCGGACGCTGCCCGGCCCTGCTTAGCTGCGCTGGGCCGTGCGCTGTGCGGGCAGGCCCGGCTGGGCCGC